AAGGCAATGTCATAATTTGTGTCTGCAATTGCCTGTATGTCTGGTGTTCACTTTGGTATTCGTCTCGCCCTTGTACGCTTGGACTGGAAAGGACGATCCCTTCTTGCCCAACGCCATGCATTTAGCCGAACACAACGCCTTCCTCTACCTAAAGTTGACCTTGTTGTTACGCAGAAGAGCTAGCCAAACTACCCTCAATTCTTACTAAATATTCACTTTTCACGCAAATAATGATTACAGAATCCCTTCTTAGTAGTATTTTATAAAATCGGGCTTATTGTTTTGTTTTCAACCTTTTCTTTAGAATCTAATTTCTTAAAGCTGCACACTTTACTCTTCTACTTTATATTTACTGCATTTACATTACCATCGCATCGCATTCGCGTGGCCTTATAAACTCCTCGAGGTCGTTCCTAATGTCCGCTCTCGTGTACGTAACACTAATATCACCTCATAGATAGACATGAATTGTTCCTAAATCATTATATTTCCTCACTTTTATGTACTGTTTAACTCTGATAGAACGGCTGTGTTAATTAAGGCAAATCGTGCTTCTGTTATCGAAAAATATTCAATAACACTTCTTTAGCAGGGACTGTCATATAAAGATGTGCCTGCTTCGCTGTGCTTTGTTGTAACTTAAGGCTACGGACTTTAAGTGGTTAGACTAGAGATAGTCCTTCAATCGAACACGCAGCTGTAACTCCTCTCCGTGCAATAGATGAACATGCCACCATATTAGTATGCAATTAGGTGTCACTAGCTACTCGAGACTTCCCATAGGGTGGAAGAAGGCAGTGAAAGAGGCTGAATACACGTGTTCCGAGGAGGACAGAGCAAATGGGCCTGAGCATGGCCTGAGAGCCAGTCTACAAGCACAAGGACCAGAACAATCCTAAGGTGACCGCCAAACGTCATGTGGTCACATAAACGAATTATTACTGTGACTGTAAAACAAACACTTGCTACGTAAGTTTCGGCCAAAGCAGCCTCCAAGTCTACTTGCAATCTTCCCCTTTCCAATTTGCACTTATGCTGATTTAAGTACCTCAAACATTCAAAATGCGTGCTAACTTATTTGGTCGGTAGTACGTAACACTTCTAAGGATAAAATAAAGCTTTCCTTAAGAGCCATGCACAGCCATTTTCCTTGGTTCGACATTCACTAACACACCACCAGCGCAGCTAAACTGCAATCTTAAGCAAAAAAAGGACACCACCACTGGTAAAATAGCTCAAACCCACTCCCCCTCGAAGTGCATTACGGTAACTGCGCTCTATTCCGTGACACACCTTGGGATGCACACAGACTCTAGCTCTACCATCAGCCCCACACGCCGAAGGCCCGACCAGACTACAAATACAACCCGAATAAACAACCCCCAAATAGGCAATCGGACAAGCAGCCAGTACGTCACACGTTCCCTATCGCTTTACCTAGCACTACCCCCGATAGTTCACTCCCTCAGTCAACAGACCACGCCAGGCATGGTAAAATAATCGATGGTGTGAAGCTTGGCAGACCACCTGTCCCGGTAAAACAGCAAAAAGTAGTGAAGAGAGCGTATTACATCTAAGCGTCGCAACATTCAACCATCTGGTAGGTCTTCTTAAGATAAAACAAACTAAGAAGCCAGTCTCAAGACATGCAAGTTAATCTACTGTTAAATCATCCACATTAAATTTCACGAAAGCAAATATCGCACGCAGTTAGTGGAGAAAGTGCACAAACATTTTCCATGAGGCCCCCAATCCAACCACGTAACACTCCACAAGAAGTGAACCTAGACAGTGTTTAGAATATACTGCCTGGAGTGGATTCAAGTTTCCATTAAGACATCCCGTTTTCAATAGCAGACGCCGCAGTATCCGGAATCCTCGCTAGTCAAACAGCTAGCGATTTAGCACACCAGTGTGGCGATTTAAAGCGGCGGACTAGTTACCGTTCAATGTAACAAAAACATATATAAATGTTTCTTTTTTAAAGAGAAATTAACAAACTGTGTTATTTACTTATAAGTAAAAATTGCCATTGCTTTAAAATAAAATAATAAATATACTAACAAAACGGCTTTTACTAAGAATTTCAGCTTACCCGCATGCATTTCTCTGTACATTTATGAAGATATCGCAAAAGTAACAATAAATAGAATGTTGGGCTAAAGAGCATTTCAAGTAACGCATCAAAGCAATTGCGTTTTCAAAAACTATACCATAAATTTAGGTCTATTTTTAGTTATGTAGCATCGCAGCAGAATTGCGTTCGACAGGTTGTAATACTTCGTTTGCTTGGCTTGCCAGTATCGTTTGCAATTGCTGAAGCTGTTATATTGGCTCGGCTGCCTACGCTGGCCTCCAAGTAATGACATAAATTGTTTCTCCTCCATTTTACATTAATGCATGATTTGAACGCAGGTACCACGTACAAACATTTGTTTTCTCCACCCAGTCTAGTATTGAACCACAACGACCTTAACGAGGTTTGCATGCGAGTGTACTTTAAGATAATGGTTTGGGTTATATTGAATTTCAGGCTTTAAATTTATAATATGACACTGAGTATTGTGGGTGTATCCCTAGTTACCTTACATATTGAGACCGATTCTGATTCTTATCTCAAGGCTCGGTTTTGGACGCCATCTAAAGTAGCCTGTAAGGCTACCGATAATTTTGCAAAGGAGAGATTTTGAACGGACCTAGACTATCAGAAAATTATGGGATTCTCCTCTCTCAAGAAACAAGTGGGTAAACAAGTAGAGACTTTAACTTGTCTTACCATCTTGGAACGCAGACCAAAGAGGTTGCTGCCGGAGCAGAGGTTTTGCTGGTCTTTAATACGGGTTAAACTATCCCAACCCTCAGCCAAATAGATTTCTTTATCTCCACCCGAGAACTATAAAATTGGCTAGGAGAATAGGTTTCCCTACTTGTAGCGTGATTGTTTCGTTAAAAAACCTATCAAAATTAGCAAGCGCAGTTCAATGCAGTTCAATGAAGGCAAACCAGCACTCGAAAGCCATTAAGGCAAAAGAGTTGCATATTAAATTACATACGTATATTAAATTAAACGTTATATTAGGAAAGCCAATTGAGATGGGTAAAAATTCTTTGGAAATAGTGAGTAGTGAGACAGTCAGATGCACACAATTTCAAACGACTAAATTATCAGGACTAGGGATAGAACTATTCACGCAGACAATTCACACAGTCCTAGAGTAATTGTAAAAATACAATAGATCTTTTAAAACTAAAAATAGAAAAAGAGAGGCGAATTGGATAAGGAGGAGGAGGAGGAGGAGGAGGAGGAGAAGGAAGGTAATTAGCTCATGTGCGCTTATGCGTGGGGCGAACTGTTACGTAGGACTATTTACAACATCCTAATAATCATGAATTGTCTATATGCTGACTCATAAGAAGTAGGATCGAACCGAAGATTGTGTGTGTGTGTGTGTGCGCAAACACAAGTGCAAAATATTGACTAGACGAGAGAAAAGGTTTCACTATACAGGTCATTCTGAAACGTGAAGCCGGCAGCACGCATGCCATCCAATTGGCGTCGATGTTCAGCAGCTAGACGTTGAAGCTCCTCACGAGTGCTCGAGACGAGGTGATTGAAGAGATTTACACCATCGGAGTGAGTGACCATCAATTGGAAACGGAAGGCTTGGCAAATGAGATCACGAAGCCACGTCACCTCCTCGCGACTAGTCAAGCCCTCACGATCTGAAGTGTTAATGCATTGTTAAACAAAACGCCATCTCTAGCCCAAGTACACAGGTAGTGTGCAATGCAAGGAAGCCCTATCAAAGAACACAAAGTTAGGTGAATATTCTTACGTGGTGTAACTAGGAGAACGGCTAACAGAAGACCGAGTTTCAACGGCTCCAATCGATGTGATTGCATTTGAAAGGCGAAATCAAAGAGTAGATTGACAAATTTCTTGCTCATTGGAAAGGTGAGCCACATCTGACTCTGTGAGAGGGTAAAGTTGCCTGGACCACAAAACGTCTGGCTCTCCTCATCCACGTAAAAACTGAATATTACACAAGCGAGCTGAAACGAAGTCAACACCGTTAGATTGTGAATAGACCCTCTACTCACTTCCACTGACCTTTGTGCATGCATTAGAGACTCAATCTTAATTTGTGTATGGAATTTGTCTGTTTCGCTACTGTTCCTCGTATACTTGGTACATTTTAACACCGATTTCGATGTCAATTGCCAATTTGGTGGGAGAGTACATATTTTCTTAGTCAAGTAGACCGTGCTCACAAGTCCAATCCCTTTCTACTCAAAGCGTCATGCTTCTTTCTTTCTCCGAGAATGCTCTGGAGCGCTGCGATCACATTGTCGCAAAATCTACCCTCCTAACGAGTACGAAAGGGAGTTAAACTGATAGCCAGAAAACAAGGGGGTAACACAAGTGCGTTGCTTGCTAGGCACTGTTCGATGTGGATATGGTGTTTTAAAAAAAGTGCCACTTTTTAACAAAATTCTTGTGGTTTCACTGTGTTGGGCTGAGCGCCTGTGAAATTAACAGCTGTACACACACGCACACACACACACATTTGTTGTTGTGGTTGTCTGCATGGTATGTCCAAATTACAAACTGCTGGCTGTCACACATTGTGGCTGTAGGGGGGGGGGGGGGGGGGGGGGGGGGG